CATACGGGTTGCCTAGGAGGAGAATGACCTAGCTAACTGCAGATAAATAATTTAAGAACTTTGTACTTTTTGCCCCAGGCAAAGATGGAGTAAGATGCGATTTCTTGATTATATTTTGTTTGTTGACATATACTAAAACCTGAAGCCTGAGAGTTTACAAAAGGCACACAGAAGCAAAAGAAGTCTTTTGAAGTATAATGAAGAGGCTTAGCTAAACACTTTAAGCTCAGTACCAAGAGGGTACTATACAGTCACATGATTTACGGTGTAGATTAATTGGATAAAGGGCTATGGTAATATCTACTAAAGTTTATCAAGTATGACATGTACATGAAACCAGTTACAAGAAAGTGGCATTTTGATGTATGAGATAAATGATGGACTGTAACTTTGAATCTACCTAAAAGTGTTGCAAGTTTAGCCGCTTTTGAATCCCTAGAGAAGGTCCTAACGCCTTGGAAGTCTGGCACTCTCTTTTACTATTGAGTACCTCTGTAGCTTGTAGACTTTTTCTTTTGTCAGCTTGCTTGCTAGGAAAAGTAACCATGTAGCTAGCAGTAATTTTGAACCGTCAAAAAAAAAAGTTAGGTGTCGCTACCCTAATGCAGGAGCTGTTTTGAGAGTTAAATGTAGATGAATATGAACAGTTCAAAGGCTAAATTGTGGAGTAGTTGAAGTCCGTAACCATTGGACATTTGTCCTTGAACGAACTCTAGAGTACGCTTCTTTTGAGTGGCAGGGATAAATACGAGAACAAAAGATAGTTCACTGAATTTTAGTTCACTGAATTTTAGTTGTACGTGGCCATTGCTCGCCCTTTCCTTCTAGCTACTACATATGCAGCTCCCCATTGAACCTAACATTTCCTTGGGGCAGAATTTGAAAGTCCCTCAAATATTGTAACTATTCATTAAGTAATAAATAACAGTTTTTAATTTATGGACAAGTACAGCATAGCCTAAATCCTTTGAGCAAAGATTTAAGGTCGATCCGACAGCGAATGTGAGGTTATGACCTGCAAGGACTGCTTACTTGCCATGGCTTTGCATGGAAATCAACACCTTATATTTCTGAAGTTTCATGTTGAAGAAATCTGCGACGAGAGAATCAAGGGATGGAGGTAGTATATTTGCAATCAGAAATGACCTTTCACTCGCTCAACCTTTCTATTTGGTACTTTCTTTCTATTGTTTGTGCTGCGTAATTGTGTGTGAAATTATGTGGGTTTATGTGTAAAGGCATTGTGAATAATTACCTACAATATTTAGAAATAATAAGCATGTATCATGCATATATGCATATACATCTTAGTGCATCTTAACAATGAGCTTTACTTGGGCAAGACACGACTTCAATCACTAAGCAATTCGTATTATACTCTTGATGCATTAAGATGAAAGATTTAGCAGGCTATTCTCTTGTATGTCTACTGCTGGTACGTGATAAGTTTTGAGATTTTCAAAGAGCATTGTTTTGTTGGTAAATTATCTATCTCGTACAAATCAGATGAAAGTGATGGTGTTATTGTTGTATAATGTACATGTTGGGATTGTATTGAATTCTTGAAAGATGTTTTTGTCATGGATTTTCCATATATTCTTTCTTTTCCTTTTTGGGCTTCATATTTCCTTGTATAGTTTCTTGTAGCTAGTTGTTTTAAGATATTTTAATCTGGAAAAGAGAAGCTAGCCTTTTCTTCTACTGATAATAAATCTAGATTTTTTTCATCTTAGCCTATACATGCTCAAGTAAGTACCAAGATTGCAAGGTCATATATCCCAACAAACGTTTGAGTAAAATACAAAAGAAAACGTAAAATCTTAGTATCCATTCAGAATTTGGTTTGGTTACTACTTTATTCAACGTAGTAATTCAACTCGTGGCAATTCTCTGGCAGTCCTATTAATTGAAAAAGGGCTTTTAAAAAAAAAGAAAAATAAAGGGAAATTCACTGTTGGTTTAAAGGGGAAATTTTAGAAATATACCCTTCTTTGTCTTTATTTATTTGTATTTGGCAAGCAAGCATTCTGGGGTGGTTTCTTACGTTCAAGTTAGTCTATTTTAGGTCTTGCAATTACCTTTTTCATGTAATTGATTGCAAATTCTTCTTATTTACCAACTTTATATATTGCTTGCACATATAGAACTTTGGAGACCTTACCAATTAAAGTTGAACATGGATTATACGTACATTTTCTTTAAGGGGTTTAATTTTATTGCCTCAATGGTAAATTATAATATATCATCATGTATATATAATCAAGAACAGAGAAAGAGAGACAGCACTAAGTACCAAATATTATTTACTATATCTGCATGAATAGCTATAAACGAGAAAGGAAATAAAAATTCTCTTTGTCAACAGTATAAGCAACCATCTAAATTGAATTCTTAAGTAAATTGGAGTACAAGTGATCTTCAATACTGTAACTTTAAACCTTTTCATCTGCCACGCATGGTACAATTCATTTCACCTAATTTGCTGAACTAGTCTACAATTTTAGATCTGCCAAATTTTGTTGGATAGATACCAGATCCCGGTACCCTTTGGGAGTGGAATATTGGTCCCCTCACACGAATCCAGGTCCTCTGCAATCACAATCCTAATTGCTTAGAACAATTCATGGGGCGAGATGGAACAGTTAAGATTGAGTTCTTAGCACAATTTTTAACAAGCGAAAAAAATTTATTTTATTTTTACATATTTTGTCTTAATGTCTACATTTTTTATTTTATTGTCTACAATTGTTAAATTAATGTCTACACCGTTCGACCGAATTTTTAACAAGTGAAAAAAATTATTTTATTTTAATATCTACATTTGTTATTTTTTATCTTCTACATTTGTTAAATTAATGTCTACACTGTTCGATACAGTTGCTATTGACAATTGTTAATTAAAACCTACAAGGTTGCATTGCTTTTTTTTTTTTTTCCCAACCTGAAGGATCGATCCCAATCAAATCGATAGATAAATGTTAGCGCAATATTGCTTCGTAAAAGGCAGTGGTAAAATAATTTTCAGGAATAAACATAATACATTGGATGGAGACAATGAGATCAACATCTGCTTGTAACTTAAGTGTTTTAAACTAATATGCATACAGCAATACCGATTCCCATGCTAAGCCGAAAATTGATGACATTTGTAAGCTTGTAAAAGGCTATAGATAGCTGAATTTGTGGATCCATTCCAATTCTAATTCTTGAACCAAACAACTCCATACTATTTTTTTTGGCTTAATTACATGATGCCCCTATATTTTTTTTGGTGTTTTTTGGGGGGGGGGGGGGTAGTTTCAGTTTACCTCCTTTATTCACCAAATGCCCAAATCATCCCTGGATGACTAACATTAAAATTGTTAGTTAACTTTTCTTGTATAAGAGTTGCAGAAAGATAATCATGTTCTCAAATATTTAATCTTTTCCCAATTTTACCCTTGTGCTACCAAATACGTTCATTATTTCTTTAATTTTAAAAGCATGAATATATGTATTAAAATTATATAATGTAGCATGAATATTTTAAAACAGCTCCTTATTCTAAATTAACTGCTAATAAAATAGAAATTGAACATTTGCAAAGATTAATTGAAATTCAATACTATTAAATATATATTGTTTTCATTGGTTTTTTTCTTCATTATCCTTATTTACAAGTTCTTTTCATGCTTAAATACATATAGTAATACTTCTATAGAAAATACTTAATCAAAATAAATTAACACAGTTAATTGAAAGGTATATAGTTTGTAAGAATACTTTATGAAAAAAAAAGTAGTTCATATGTACTAACAATTAATGCATCACCAAGAAATTAGCAATTACATTCCATACAAAAAAAAACCTTATAATACATTAATTGTATCATAAAAAATTTAAAATGATATATCACAATCGCAATTGAAAGTTTAATTTGAATTTTTTTACCTATAAAAAGAAAATAATTGGCATTCGTGGAATTAAAGAATAAAGAAAAAAAAGGGGCAAAAGAGGAGGAAACAAGAACGAGAGACACATAAATGTTAACAATAATATTTTTCTTTTTTCAACCTTCTGCCCTCTCCTAATCCCTCCTTTTAGCAAGAAGTCCCTAGCCAATGGCCAATATTAGCAAGCATATACTTGTTCAATGTACCGCGGCCGACCGTAATAGGTCTAATTACATTAGCCATCAAGGGAAATGTTGTGTTTTTTTATAAATATAGGGGGAAATCGCCACTCACCCCTATAGTTTCAGGGGAGCAATAAGGAATTAAGCCCTTTTTCTTCTCTCCTTCCAACCGATTGATAAGTGATATGGCTTCTCATATGGTTTGGTTTAACCGTGCTGCATGTCCGACTTGTGAGTCGCGCTTTTTTTATTTTGCCACTGAGTCAATGGGTTGTTTGGATTGAAATGTTTTGAAATAAAATAATTTAATTTACAAATTTCAATCACTTTTTTATCTTACATACATCTAGAACTGTTCACAAATCGAACCGCTTTCGAGCTCGAGTTCAAACTCAAAAACATTAAGTTCGGTAGCTCGCGAGCTCAATTATATATTTTATTTTTTATTTTAATAGTAAAATTACATATATCTCTAATATTTTATTATTTATTAAAAAATAATAATTTATTCATTTTTAAAAATACAAAATATATATTTTTGAACTCGTCGAACTCGAACTCGAGTTCGAGCTTGACATTTTGAACTCGTCGAACTCGAACTCGAGTTCGAGTTTCATAAAATTAATTGGAAGCTCGGATCAATAAGGCCAAAACTCGACTCGACTCGGCTCGGCTCGTTCGCACCCCTGCATACATCACATCACAAAAAGTGCTACAATAATTATCTCAAATAAATCATCCAAATGAACTCCTATCCAAACAAATCCATTATACACAATTGAGTATCATTTTAGCAAAGTCGACGTCCATTAAATAACCCTTTTGTTACTTTTACTTCCATAAAAGATTTGAAAACTTGAAAGAAGCCCGTGAACACAACTGAATATGCCCTTGTCAAGATCACTTGCATTCAGTTCAACCTCTCAGCAATTCAGCCCTTTTTTTTTTTTCTCAAGTGTCAAAAGGCAGCAAATTACATAAACTGCTTTAGTCACTAAATAAGATGACCAAGAAGACCGTACAAGGAAAAGAAGAGAGAACACTTTGTTCTTAACAAAACGTGGAGATGATCAATTGCAATCCCTACAAATCAAGTTGAGATTTCAAGCATGGCAGCTCTACAGCAGCTGTGTTAAATGCTAACCTCAATACTGTCCTACAAATCCCAGAGCATCCACACGAGGGATGGCAATGTGCAAGCAACCAAACTTTCATGTTCTTGAACCCTTCAATTTTGCAGGTGACTTTCTTGCACTTCATCCATCCAAAACTGATTTTTGTGCTCAAGTACCCATTATCACTTGAATTTCTCCACCGTCTGTCGACATTCCTACAACAGGACTTTCCACCATCTCTAAAATGCATAAAAGGGCTTGCCCCATGGATCTCCAAGCATAGAAGAAACGCTTTTTGATTCCACTCCCGTGGACCAGCATTCTCTCGCAAAAGTTTCGAAAGACTTCTGTTCACTTGACCAGGATACACCGGTTGAATTCCCTAAACTATTTGACGTGGAATGTTCATCAAACCAGGCAGGAGATTCATACATGTATTGCAAAGGATTAAAGGACCATTCAGGAGTCTCAAAACTTTGAGCCATCTCCCAAAACGCTCTTTGCAGCTCCTCCAAGCTGTGCACCTTATCCTGCATTAACAAGTGATACAAGAGGAACTAATAATTAATTCCATGCCATGTACTTTTTTTTACAGGTGACTGAAAAACAAATATCTTGACGAAACTAATTTGGACATATGATACAAAAGAAATTCTCATTTACTTCCATACCATGTGCCTGTTCTTGGTACTTCTTTCCTATTCACAGACGTTGAAATTTAATCAAAGTGCAGGTGAAAAATGTTAAGAGAGTCCATGAAATTAGCTACTATCGTTTAGCAAAATGACCACCAACCAACATAAATAGCTTAATTAACAATCCCATTTCCTCTCAGACTTTAAACTAACCGCTATAACCTTTCCCTAAAACCTAAGTTAAATCAAGGCCTCTCTGGTCAAGCTTGCAGATTCTGTGAGTCTCGGCTCAATTCCAAAAAATACAGAGGTTTCACTGTAATAATACACATGATTGCAAAAACATTAAACTACTGTTATAGCAGTCAGCTCATGTCACGGTCTTCCAAATGCGAAAAAGCCAGTCACTACCTACATCCAGGCTTCAGTGAAGCAGCCAGCTTATTCAGGTACAAATTACAATGCATAACAAATGTTAGCCTAAAAAGCTCGCTTTTTTAGCTCAGATTAAGATCTGGTAGTCTCATGAGAGAAAAACTGATGCACATCATCAAAATATTTCACAAAGCACTTTCAGCTCTAGATAGCAAACTAAATCAAATAACAAATACCCTGCCCAACAGCCAAGGAAGAGTGATATCGCATCTAACCCGTATAGAAGGCCAACGTAGGGTCAAGTGTACCATTATTAGTTGAATGACTTACTACCCTTTGACTCACCTACATCTTGATTTTCTTCTCTTCCAATAACCTGTTCATTTGGGTGTGTATATGTCCTATGATCATTTTCTGGTTACACTATAAACAAGCTACTGAACCTTCACACAATCTCAAATACTCTTCTACCTTGAAACTGAGGTCAAAATAATTAATCAGACTTAGAACTCCCGGAATTAAGTACTTAGATACTCAAGTCTGATTAATTCTGTGTCTTATGACTCCAAAATGTATGCCATGCTAGATATAGGATCCAACTATGATTAGTTATATACCGATGGAAGCATTCATTAGAGAAGGCTAATCAGCACCATAGGGCCTAGGATTTAAAGTGCAAAAGGGACACAAGGTTTCTGGGCCATATGGTTCGATCTCTTGTATCGTGCCTATATCAGAAGCCTGGATGAAACAATCGACTTGGAAATGTTCCTCTCTTGCTTCATTTTGATGCTTTTTAGCCATAAGCCCCTAACCTATGCCTGCTTATCAACTTGAGTGATCTCTAACTCACATGATGATGGACTGTGAAATAAGCAGAAAGAACAACACAGATAATCTTTCAAAAAACATGAAGATCATTTTCTTACCTCTTTTCTCACATTGTCTACAAGAGACACCATTTCTTGTAGAAAATCAGCAAATCCCTGAAAAAAAAAATGATAATCAGCATACACCTTGCTCGATGAAAGAAATTTGCAACCTCAAGAAGGGAAAAAAATAAAAAATTAAAGGAAGGATAACGAAACACTTACCTCATCCTCTTCTTCTTCTGCAGGATCATAAAGGCCAGTATCATACATTATCCTCCTTTTTTGATCCGACAGCACTGTTTCATAAAGAACAAATCAGAATACCATCTCATATAAGAAACTAAAAGATGAACAGAATACTACTGAACAAAGTTGCAAGTACCAGAGAACTGGGATTCTTCAGGGGATTGATGGTGCATTACCTGAATAGGCCTCCTGAATCTGTTGGAATTTTCTCTTTGCTTCACCCAACAGTGAAGGCGTTCTGGTCCATTTATCAGGATGCCATTGCTGCAACCATAATTAACATCCCACAGGCAAATCAACCAATAATTCGTATTAACCAATTCATATTCAAGAAACTATACGCTTTATTTCCCCCGTTTTAGCTAACCAAAAGAAAAGAAAAAAAATTGGCATAAAAGGAAAAATCAAGAAACTGAGACCGTTTCTGAACTCACCATAGCAAGCTTCCTATAAGCACGTCTTATCTCTTCATCAGAAGCATTTGTAGGCACACCAAGAATGCCGTAATAAGAAGATGACCCCCTAAAATATTCCCCCTCCATCGCAATTTTAACACAGAAAAACACCAATTCAGCACCACCCCAGATGAAATTTTACTGGGCTCAGCAATTGGTTCCCTCTTTCAAGCTTCAGTTTGATCGCATTCGCAAGAGTTTTAACAGAGGTCAGGTGATCAATTGGCCATCGAAGGAAGCCAAGTCTTTTATACTCGTCAGTAATAATCTCTGTTGTTGACTGAGCAGGGAATAAGTCGTTAGTTTAGAGGGTCCCAGTGGAAATTCCAAAGCTACGTGGACAAGTGTTGAGAGAAAATATCTAAGCGGACAACATTTGCGTGAATCTATCGATTTATCCATCGAGCTTCTATTGGTTTCTGGAAGACTTGAAAAGTGATCCGGAAAGTTCCGGAACGCTATCTTGGCCCACGTTTTGTTGGTAAGGACTCTAAGATTCCTCGTTGATGGCCGAAAGTCTTTTGGGAAGATATTTTCCATGGAAAACTCTCGTGCTCGATTGCTCTTCAATTGGCCTCTTTCTATGGTCTCAACCTAGTAACTCTTGACTATTTTATTTTATTTTATTTTATTCAATTGGCCCCTTTCATGGTCTCAACCTAGTAACTTTTGATTATTTTTTTATTATTTGATAGCCGAAAGTCTTTTGGGGTAGATATTTTCCATGGAAAACTCTCGTGCTCAATTGCTCTTCAATTGGCCTCTTTCTGTGGTCTCAACCTAGTAACCCTTGACTATTTTATTTTATTTTATTCAATTGGCCCCTTTTATGGTCTCAACCTAGTAACTTTTGACTATTTATTTTTTTATTTGGACAAATGATCAGTTTCAATTTTCACATTTCACAAAAATATTCTTTGTATTCCTCACTTTTTATAAAAAGAAACAAATTCATTTTTAACATTTAAAACCTGAAACTATTACATTCCTGAAATCAACTTTAACAACCTGATTATAAATTTTGGGAATATAATTGGTAGAACACTTGATTAACTAAACTTGATATTCATGTGAAATTTAATGAATCCAAAAATAAAAAAAAATTATAACATAAAAAAGAACGATTAATTTTTCCTACATTATTATTGTATACATTGACGAGTCTAGATACATGACATATCATTTTAATTTAAGTTTAAACACTAAACTTTGTATGTATGATATACACCTAGACTCGCAAGTGTATGTACTAACGGTGCATAAAAAGATTTATCCATAAAAGAAACCCTACTTTCTAAAACAAAGAACGGCCTTTTTATATTATAATTTTTAATTTTTTTTCTTTTTTGGTTCAATAAATGTGATGTAAATGTGTTGGAATTGATTGAGTGATCTATTAATTCTATCCTCAAAATTTATTATTGGGCTATTGGATGATTTAATTCAGATTGAACGTTAGGTTTAGGGATGTAATAGTTTCAATTTTTAAGTGTTAGGGACGAATTTGTTTCGTTTTAAAAATGAGAGATGAAAAGAATATTTTACGAAATGTGAGAGATGAAATATATCATTTTCCATTTTTATTTTATTCTAATAGGAAAGGAGTAGGATTTAAGAGGGACAGAGGAAATGGCGGGTTTAAACCCAAAATTTTTAATTTATGGAGGATTAATTTTAGGATTAATATTCTATAGTCTGACAGTGTATATATACTTTCACTATTGAATGCATGACACATAATCTGAATTTAAATTTAAAATTCAAATTTTGCATATGTGTTGTGTATCCAACTGTGATAGTGTATATTAAATATAAGATTTACTCTTAATTTTAACCACTAAATCAAAGTCCCATTGGTAAATATTATATATTTGTACAATTACAAGAATAATTTGCATGTTTTTGTAATAAATGGATCGCCTAATAAAATACACGCGTATGAACGGATGGGTTTTTTTTTGGGAGCATATAAGCAATTGTGTAAGAATGATAAAAGTTCAACGATGAGTGATTAGATTTAGATAACGTAATTTCTGAAATGAGTGGTACTATAGTTAGTGTAGAGTTGTGGAGAAATTAGTATACAATTTTAGTTTTTTTTCCTTTCCTTTTAAGGAAATAGGGACCAATTAACTACTTGAGAGTACAAAATGAAACTTGAAAAGTGATCATCATGCTTTAACATATATTTTACGTAGCACTGTCAATAGAGGCTGGCTAACTCAAGATCGGCCCGTTTGATTAAAAAAAAAGTTCACTGAGTCTAAACTTTAATTAAGCCAGGTAGAATTAAAACTTGAATATTAGGCCCAAACTAAATGCGAATCGAGCTTGAGCCATATTAGGTTCAGATCCGATTAAAATTCGGCCCATATATGAGTATAATTATATATGTAAAAACATATATAATAATATTTATAATTTATAATTATACATATTACAACATAAAATGCTAATAATTTATATATAAATTTGTATTAATTCATAATTATAAAATACATATTATATATAATTATGAGTTTGGACTAATCCTGATTTGAATCCGAATCTCATATTATAGTGTGAGTCGAATTTGAGACTTAGTATTAGCTTGAAACTCAAAAGTCCGAAACCCAAAAATTCATATAACTTGTGAGTTGAGTTTGAACTTGCTAAAGCCCAGTTCAAAAAACCCAATCGACACTTCTAATTTTACGCATGTATGTATATATTCTTGATCTTTCCTTTACATCTAATTTAATTTGGTAGGGGGACTAAATTTGCATATTTATGTTCACACACTTCGTTTACTGCTGATAAAATATTACATTTAATTATACAATATGCACATTTCTGACAAAATTGTGTAAATTTAATTCCATTTTCCACAAGTGGTATGTGTGAGGAGGCCAAACCTTACGATCTTACCAGATCAAGAAGTAGTTACCAGTATGAAAAGAACATAGAAAATATGACCATTAACTACAGGCCATAGGTAAAGATAGTTGAGCATTAACTCACGGTCGCACAACTAGAGAAGCTTGCGAACTGGGAAAAAATTATGGTGTAGAATCGTTCAAGGATTCCGAGTGCCTGGGACAGAAGATATTTCTCGGACGGGAACGTGTCCATGAGTTGGAATTTCAGGGTGACACGCACTCTTTCTAGAGAAAATCTTATCAAGCACTGAAATGCTAAGCTCTAAATTTTACAAGGGGAAAGATGACTATATATATTAACCATTGATGAGTTTTATTGGAGATAAACCGTAGGGTCAATTGCACATTGCAACCTCAGTTTTAATTTTCCACAATTTACTAACTTTGATATTGAGTTTTTTAAAACCCACTACAATTAACTGAAATTTTGGCAATTTGAAATAGATTTCATTTGACTAGTGATTAGTTAAAAAAAAAATTAAAAATAAAAATCCTTTCAATTCATGCCTTATCTTGCCCCCGAAATGCAAATCTTTTTTATTAAGAAATAAAAATTGGTCGAAGTGATTTCCTAACCAGTATTTTCAAGAACGCTCTTGCTGGGGGACGAACTGATGATAATATTGTGCTTTTACTTCTAGACGGAGCTCCAGTTAAAACTCATGCTGCTACATCAGGATGTCAGGGAAGAGTATCACTCGTCCCTCAATCCCGAGTGAACATTTCCAGGGTGGCATGATTATATGATCAATTATATATATGCCGTTCATAATTTTGTTCCAAAGAATTCTCCAAGGACATCTTTTAAAAATTAAATTAATTAAATGATTAAAATTTTCTAATATTGGATGCATGTCACATAATTTAAATTTGAAATTGAACTCTACATTTTACACCTGTTACATCCATTCTAAGTCAACAGTGTATATGCTGTTAGGATTCATTTGGTTCATGAATTGGATGAGATGGGATGACTCATTCTCGAATTATTAATCCTGAGTTAAGTCATCCTGGGATTAATTATCCAAATTATCTAGTGTTTGGTTGGTTTATGTTGGATAGGATATATTAGGAAACAATTCTATCAAGTGTTTGGTTGAAAATTGGATCGCCAGATGAGATGGGATGACTCATCCTCGAATTATTAATCCTAGATTGAGTTATCCTAGGATTAATAATCCAAATTATCTAGTGTTTGGTTGGTTTAGGTTGGATAGGATATAGTAGAAAATAATCTTATCATGTATTTGGTTGGAGATTAGATGAGATAGTATTACTATTTTAATGGCCAAAATAGCCCTTAATTTGTAGGATCGTTTTAATAAAATAATTTAATAATTTATAACTTTTATTAAAATTAAGTAATTTGAAACTTTAGAATTATAAAGTAAATCAATGGTTTTGATATATAAAAATTTGCATTCATTGAAACTTAGCCCATTCGAGCCCTTAAAAATAGGTTTTAACATTGTTTTTGAATCTAAATTTGAAATTTAATTAAATAATGGGCTGAGTTTTGTCTAAGTTAAGATTGAATTGAATAAAATCAAACTCATTTAAGAGTTTTAAATGAGTCAAGCTCAATTTAATTTAGAATATTTTTCTTTGGACTAAGTTTGAGCGTATTGAAACCCTCATTCTTAAAATCCAGTTGATAAGGTTATGTATTTTTATAGAATTTAGTTGAAAAAATAAGGTTGGTAAGGGCAATTTAGTCCAAGGGCAATATTAATTTTAATCTTATTAAACGTATTCTTTATTTATTTCTATCTATTTTACTTTTTGTTATTAGAAGTAATGATTATCATAAAGTCTATGCTATAACAAAGTATATGTTATTTATTTACATAGACTGTGTCTTATATTACTTAAATTAATACATTTAGAGCTTAAAACAAATTAAATTTTAATAACAACAATAACAAATTTAAATCATTATAACATAGTGGTTATCAACTAAATATAAAAGAAGTAAATATTATGTAATTTAAATTTCTAGTTTGCTAATATCTTTTAAATATTCAAATTACAAATTTTTTATGCTATACATTTTTTCTTGAATTTTTTGATAGTATAACTAAATAAAACAAGAATGAATTATAAGTAAAAAATAATTACAATATTATAATAAGCATATAAATTAGTAATGCTAATAGGAAAGTGAAACAAAATAATAACATAAGAAATGTGGGGTAGAGAGGGATTAGGGGGAAAGATTAAAAAAGGACATAAGAGAAGTAAAAAAAAATAAAAAAAGATGAAATCATAAAAAAATAAAAGAAAGTAACAAAAAATGGGAATGAATAAACAAAAAATAATAATAGGAATACTTTTGTCTTAAAATATCA